AAGTTGAATAAAATGTGAGACTACTTTGTGCTTATTTTAACCACAGACCTTTTAGCACTTAAGCAAAAATCTATAAAAAATCTCAAAGGAAGTGCTAAAATGTTAACTTTTGGCCTACAAAAATGTTTCTAGAGCCACAAGACAATGGTCCTTGGGCTAAAAGGCAGGGCATCGTTTCTTACTACTTTTCACTTTTCCTCTGCTCTATTTTGTTTCCTAATCTAACTTTATAATAGACCTGGCACTGTATACTGTGAATATTGTTGGCTCTGTGACAGATTGCTTATGCTCATCTATTGGAAGTTGCTTTGGATAAAAACATCTGCTAAATGCAGAGATGTAAATGTTTTGCTGCGTTGAAAGGTTTCTCCCATTCATTTTCTACAAGTGGTTCATTTGCTCCTAGTCTTTGGCTCCAGTAAGTCATCACAGTTGTTTGGGGAGCAGTACTCTGGACCTGCCTTCTGCATCTTTGCTGGTAGGTCGGATTTGTTGGCTGGCCTCACGCCTGGTACTTTCACAGTGCCCAGCATATGTTCTCTAGATCAAGATCATCAGAAGCCTGGCGCTCAGACTTACCTGGCGCTCAGACAGGTACTGTGCCCACTGTACCACACCTGCTGTCGCTTCAGTATCTATTCAAACCCCCTCAAGCTTATTGAGTGTTACTGCCATTTCTGTCCACCAGAGTGTGCTGTTTTTCAGATAAATATTTCACTGATGCTGGTACTGTAATGTGCTCAGTTTATGCCTTGTTGCAGTGAGATTTACAAAATTGTGTATTTGTGAGTGTGCTAGTGTAGCTAAAGGATTGATGCTGGTCTAAAAGTGACCTTGATCATGTACAGACTGCGAGGTGAGAGAGAAAGAGAGAGTGACATTGAGCTGACCTGTTTACTGTTTTTTCTATGAGGAGTGCTTTCTCTGAATCCGACACTGCCAAATAAAAAGAGAGTCCTTGTCAGTCTGCAATAAATAACTCAAGTCTCTAAAGAAGAGGTCTTCGGTTGTTGTGAATGTCCTTGTCTTTCTCTGTCACTTTTGGAGACACTTTCACAGATACAGTGATTTGCAGTGACAAAGTCATTTATTTTTAGTGTGATTTGGTGATATGAGATGACATGACCAGCAGTGGTCATTGGGGATATGATGTGGGGTGTGTCCTGTGATGGAAGAAAATTGAGAAATTTTGATTTTATGCAAATTATTTGGTACTACCAATTAGAGTGAAGACAAATAATAGCACATTCATCCATCCATCCATCCATCCATCCATCCATCCATCCATCTTTATGTCTGTCTGTCTGTCATTTCATTCAGTAAATCATTTTGGTAATGCTTTACAGTAAGGTTAGTTTTTTTTATCATAAACTAAAAAATAACAATATTTTGATAGCATTTACTAATGTCAATGGTAATTTCTATAAGTACTAATGCATTTCATTTTGTATAGATAACAATACATTTACTAATGCTAATTAAATGAGCTTTAATTTAAAGTACTATTTATTTATTTATTTTCCTAGTGAAGCTTGCCTGTTTAAAAAGTAATCTCCTCAGTGCTAGCATGTTGTGGTTGATTGCATGTTGCTATGTGGTTGCTAATCAATTTATTGGCCCAAGTCAAGAGTCCACCCTCCAATTTTTATTTATTTTTCGGCTGGTGCCATGTTTTACAGTTTGAGCTGTGTTTTTAAACATTCAGGATTTTCTTTTCATATATTTTCAAACTTTGTGAAATAGTTTTCAACTCCACATATTTGAAACACTTTTGGTGTAGAGTGCCAGTGGGAGTGCTGCATTAGATTGAATTTTTAGTGCTAGGTTTAATGCTTTCCCACGATTCCCCAGTTAATCAAGGTCTCAGCGGGGTTCTTTCATGACTACGGCACCACCGATACCCAGCAAGCTATCAGACTGTAATCACAGTGTATCTGGCCTTCAGCAGATAAGTTTGCTGTGAGACGATTAGAAATTTAGCATATATGACAGTGATGATATGGAGGAGTCACTTGTGTGAGTCTTTGGCATTGCCCTTGGCCATTGCAGCTGACTTTACAAGTTAAATTAAGCTAAATGTCTTGCATCTGAGAATTAATGTCACTAATCTGCAACATTACTGTACATTCAGAACATATGTGTATCTTAAAGGTGCTGTAAATGCTTTTGTATTGAATGCAACACATAAGAAGTCCCATTCTAACCAAAAAAGGGCAAAAAGGTCAAAACCATTACAATCAGAATTAGGAAAACAGCTAAAATTTTATATTTAATTTAAAAAAGATTTTATTTGGTTTATTTTTGTATTATTTTTATATTTTTATGTGTGTTTATATATATACTGTATATATATATTATTATTTTTTTGTATGTTTTATTATGTTATATTTTATTTACAATTTTTTAGGCAAATTCTTGTCACTTAATATGGCTTCAATGTAAGTCTGTGGGTTCTTTTGCCCAACTTGTGGTCTACTTAGTAATATCACACCCCTCCTCATCAAACCACATAATTTTATGTAATTTTACATGCTGAAATGCAATACTTAGGATTTGGCGATTTGGCCAAATCCCTATGTAACCCTATATATGAGCAAAGTTATGCTTGCCTTAGCTACATCAGTAAATTAAAGTAACATAATACCTAATTTTGGATTACATAGCCTTTTCCTTCCACCAGGAATTATAGGGTTTTGCTTAGGAGTTACTCTGTGCAATCAGGCAGAAACTTTTCCTATAATCAACCAGTTGCAATAATCCTAAAAGCCTCGAGAAAGACCCTTAGTAACACCGAGTGAGGGATTGAGATTGAAAGGGAGCGAGAGGGAAGGAAGGCGTCCTCCCTCGAGGAGTTACTGTCAGTCAGAGAGAAGGAATGAGTCGTGGCTGATCAAAGCCTCCATTAGCAGCACAGACACCAGCACACACTCAACATCCCCACTGAGCAATTAAGATATCATGAACATCTCTGGTGGCCCAAAGTCATCTGAAAATCCACTTCAGGGCAAAACTGAGAGAGAGAGAGAGTGGGCGGGAGATAGAGGGCAGAGTTCTGACACGAACGGACACTACAAATTAAGATTTACAAGCTACTGCTGTACTTTAAAACTTCAGCTTTAATTGCTGGCACACTGCAATGCCTGTCTCGCCCTCTTTTTCTCATTCTTTCTTTCTTATTTATGAAGGGTAAATGCCCTTGTTGTGGATACATTGTATGCCCATGTACCTTGCATAGCCGACAGGAGACGGTGACATTTGCTATAACCCACCAAATTCAGTAGAAACACATGTTCTGTCAAGTGTATCATCACAATACAGACTGCTCTTCCGTCCTTCACCCTCATTTTTCATATATGTTGTGACAGGTGAGGAAGATGTGAAGAAAGTGCACTTCACATTGACACGCTGCTGTCCTTTTTCAAAGAATCTGCTGTCAGAGTGTGTTTTTTCAATGTAGTGCAAATCATATATGGCACCTACCAATGTTGTCTGGTCCTGTTTGCAGCTTAACAATCACCTGAAGGAAGGGACTGACATGTAAAGTTAATAACCAGTTTTTGTTTTTATGTGTTGTTTAGGGACAGGTTAATTGGAAATGGATTATACCAATATAATGTACTGGCATGGAAAAATTCAAGTGATGGCATAGCAGTCCTGGTTATAAGGAAAACGAATAACAGCATCTCTTTATCATCTTAAAATTGTACTCAGTATTTGATAGGACTGCTCAATTTTGCAATTGTTTACACAATTTCTTTTGTATATTTGTAATGATTTTAAAATAATTTAAAACATTGCTTATACTTAATAATATATATTTGATATAACATATAATTATAATATTACATTATACAAGTGTTAATAATTTAGTGCTGTCAAACGATTAATCGCGATTAATCGCATCCAAAATAAAAGTTTTTGTTCACATAATATATGTGTGTATACTGTGTACATATTTATTATGTATATATAAATACACACACATGCATGTATATATTTAAGAAAAATATGTTGTTTATATAATAAATATATTTATATATAATATAAATTATGATACATGTTATTATACATGTAAATATTTTCAAAATCTATACTGTATGTGTGTTCTTTTATATATTCATAATAAATATACACAGTAAACATACATATATTATGTGAACAAAAACATTTATTTTGGATGCGATTAATCGTTTGACAGCACTAATTATTACATATACTGTTCAAAGGTTTGGGGTTGGTAAGGTTTGGTAAAGCTACATTTTTATGATCAAAATACTGTAAAAACTGTAACATTGTGAAATATTATTACAGATTAAAATAACTGTCTTCTATTTTAATATATTTTAAAATGTAATTTATTCCTGTAATGGTAAAACTGAATTTTCAGCAGCCATTTCTTCAGTCTTCAATGTCACATGATCCTTCAGAAATAATTCTAACATGCTGATTTGGTTCCCAAGAAACATTTCTTATTATTATCAATGTTGAAAACAGTTGTGCTACCTAATATTTTTGTGGTAACCATGATATGTCTTTTTTTCAGGATTCTTTGATGAAAAGAAAGTTCAAAATAACAGTGTTTATTTTTAAACCAAAACCTTTTGTAACATTACAAATGTTTTTATAAATATACTGTCAATTTTGATCAATTTAATGCTTTCTTTGTTGACTTAAAGTATTAATTTCTTTAAAAAAAAAAATCTTACTATATATAATATGCTAAATAATAAATTCTCTGAATTTAACATGTGATGTGATCAGGTCATAATATACTATAATATTGTCTATCTTTATTGTTAATATATTTTGTACACTGCCTTCTGATAGATACAGCATGTATGGTGCAGTATTTAGTTAGTATAAATCTTATATTTTCTGAATATACCTTCATTCTCTGACACTTTTACATGAGTAGATGATGAATGTTGATTGACTTTAAATATCCAGTGGCATTCTGTTCAGTCAGCGTATTAACATTAAGCATTTTTCTGATCATTTAGGAGTAAGGAGTGACCCCTTCACCTCTGGTTCAGATGGCAGACGGTCGGCAGCCCGAGGACAGCGGCCCCCAGTGGTCATCTCCGGGAGCCCAGGGCTCATCCTCCCCAGGTGGGCATGGAGAGAACGGCTTCTCTTCTACCTACAGGACTTGCCAGCCTGGCGGTGCCCACAGTGGTTCTGCCGCCTCCTACGCCAAAGAGAACGGCTTCAACGGAGACCTCACCTCTGGACACGCTGTGACTGCTGGTGAGAAGCAGAAAATGCCTTTCACATGAGCTTCTGTCCACAGGAAACCCTATGACTAATAACTTCAATCAGTGCTAGATGATTAGCTTTTGACTTCAGATTTTTTACACAGCAATTGAAGTGAAAGTTGTTAAGGATTTCCTTTCCAAGTTGTCATATGATAGAGGTCAAATCTGTGTATATTTATTATGTATATATATATATATATATATATATATGTAAGAGAAACAGGTAAATTTAGCTCAAATGGAATTATTTTTGATTTTATAGGGAATTTGGACAGAATCGCTGTTTTATGGCTGATCAACTGAATAGGTCAGCTGAATGGCCGTACAACATCAGCTCTGCATGGATATTAATATCCAAAATATAGCGAAAACGCTATTCATTAGCACAATAACAAGATCGGCAGTTTAAGACATTAACTTGTAAGCACAAAATACAAGATACTTCTCTTTTTAATATAAATAAGACTTAAAATCTAAGACATATAAACTAATCTAGCGCATAAACATACGCACTCATACATTCACACAAGTTGCAGAAAGAGAAAAAGTGAGGAAAGAATGCACCCTCGCATTGAGTTTCTCAATGAGGCTATTAAGCTTTATATTAAATGCACCAGTTCAGCTTGGATCTGGAGGAACTTGCGTTGCTTGTTTAGGGGGTTCCATTGTTGTCGATGTTGCAGAAAGGAGTTTCCCAAGGTTGCTGATTGGCTGGAAGTTCAGAAAAAGGTAAAGTTTGACGAGACTAGGTGGCGTTTCTCCTCATGGTTTTAGAGGAGCTGCTGGCATTCAAGCCAGAGCATGCTGGAACGGCGCTCGAAGAATTCACGGGCAAAAAGAATGGCTAAAAGCATAAATCAAAAAGCAATGACTAAAAAAATGGCGGCTAAAAAGCCAACAAGGCAAAAAGCATAATTTAATGGTGTCCTGAGTATTTAAACCGGGCTGTTAGACACATCCCAAATGGTGTCTTGACCAGTTAGACATTGTCTTAGCTTGGGGTGTTGCTATGTTTCTCCTCCCAATACATAAATCAACATGTTATCTTATCAGTCACATGGTCCGAATTTTACCGCTCTTGCAGAGTATAACTTGATGTGATTTCTATAACCGGAATATAATACATTTTACAAAGTATTGATTGATAGAAACATTTAAAGCATGAATTTTCAAACTCATACATACCCAACATGAATATAATCCTATAAACTATTCAATAGTTATTCAAAATACATACACAATAAATGATTAAAACGTGATAGTCTAATGTGT